CCAAAGAAGAACTATGACGAGACTGATTTTCAGATCTGCATGAAGAACAGTCCCAGCCTATTGGTTTTCCAGTAAGTTCCACAGCATTAATCAATAAGAGAGATCCTAACACACATGAAATCAGACTAACGAGCAGAGAAAACAGGTCATCTGTGACCTACAATCACCTTTTCACAGGTACACGATCACATGATCCAACAAATAAAAGAGGTATAACCCTCACAAAAGTCTGCCGACATTCAGTGGTTTGGATTCATTTGTTCTCCACTTGGTACACAACCAAGGAAAGAAATAAAAGAAAAAACAACTTTAGGGTTGTACCAGTCGCGGATCTGATTTGATCAGCCCAGATTCAATCCTCAGTTCCACCCAGATTCAGCAACTCGAAGAGAAAATTTGGTCGCCCAGATTCAACAGCCTTGCTCTGATACCGTCTTGGCAATAAATTCGATTGAAAAATGAGGAAGAAGAGAAGAGAAAGGAAGAAGAAAGAAGAGAAGAAGAAAAGGTTTGGAGCAATGGAACAGTACTGGCGGCGCCAGCTTCTATTATATTATATAGGGCGACAGAAATAAGAAGGGAAAAGACACATGTGCCCCTGCTGTAAGTGAAGTACAATAACAGAAAATAAAATAAAAAGCTTTAACTAGCCAAACAGACCCTAACACAAATAACAAAATTATTTCAACAATTCTTTTAGATATTAAAACAATTAAGCATACACCATAAATTTTGAGAAGGCCAACAATGCCTAAGGTACCACTAGTACAAAACAACCAAAAAATAATAATGGATACTTCTGATGAAGACTTACCAACTGCCATATAAGACTGCGCATTTCCTCTTTTCCAGCTTCAGTTGTCCTCAGCCAACGCCACCATGTAGATGGATGAAGCACCTGTATATTTTTAACTCGTTCACCCCTTCTCTCATTAGCTATATTTTCTGAATCTTCAGTAGTATATATCAACTTTGACAAGGATACACCTTCATTTCTGAATACAAGCCATATTTCCTTTGATGGAGATTCAAAGTACTCTACATATCTAGCAATATGTTTTAATCCTTCTTCAGGGTCACCTCTTGACATTCTAAACTTATCGGTGATTCTCTTGCCAGGATTCAATCCATATTGTATCTCATCAAAAAATGACCTGTTCTTTCTGAATAAACTGTAGGGATCATGTTTTGGTACTTTTGAAAAGGAATTTAGTAATCCTGATGACAACACTCCTCCAAGAGAAAAAGAGGCACTTAAGAAAATTTCCCCAAAATACTTCTCTCTTAACCCACTTAAGTATACATTGGCTCCTCTCTCCACCTATTTTCAGAAATCAATATTGGAATATTCATGAATCGTAAGCTTGATTAGAATGAAAAAAGTGTTACAATAAAAAGCTTTCATGTAATATTGAATAAAAAAAATCAATACGTACTTGTCATGAAGAGCAACATAGTCCAGTTGGAAAGAATTGGTGCCAAACATAACCAAAACAGAGAAGGAAGAAGGAATATACAGAGAAAAACATATTGTTGGAATGACAAAAACCAAAGAATCCAGGCGCCTCAGAAGCATCAACACCTCCAACATGTGCCTGAGGGCATTGTGAGGGTGCCTCACCTGGAGGCACGCCTCCGGGCATATGCCTCCCATGCCTTTTAAAGCATTGCTCCAGGTGCACCCCTCCATTTTTCCCATCCTGCTTTCTATGGACGAAGGACAATATCTTCCTCTATATCTACCCTGATATGGATTATCAAAAGGCAACAGAAGAGGTTACACCGAGTTACCTCTGTTGAGCTATAGGTTCTCAAATGTTGTAAGGGTATTTTAGTCATTGTCTCTGTATGAGTTACATTTTTATATTTCTCTATCAGGGGCAATGATGTAATTGTGCACTTATATTCATAATGAATAAAAGTTAGAGAGGAGAAGTTTAGGGTCTCATTTGAACCACCCTCCTTCCCTCTTTCTCACATTTCCTTCTTCCTTCTTCTCCTTCACTAAAACCCTAAAACCTAAATCTCTCCTCTTTTTTTCCTTGTTCACAACCAACTTGCTATCAGAGCGAAGTTAGAACAAAGTTGAGAATGAATTGTGCATTCTAGATGGCCTGCTGACGTCTTCTGTATGGCCTGATGACATCAGCAGCCTAACAGCTCGTCTGGTGAACGTACCAGAGGATGGAGCATGATTTATAGTCTTCTGGTATAGGTTCTTCCCATAGTTATCAGAAGGTTAGGATTTTTTATGAATTTATTTTGGAAAAATTGTGAAAAATCAGAATCAACTGTGGACAGCTCTGCTTTCTGTTTGTAGTGGAGTTTTTTGATGCAGTTACTCTTGTGAATTGGAAAAGCATTGTAGAACATCATATCCTTTGAGTAATACTAAAAGTTTTGCGAAAGGAGGAAAGTGGGTTTTGGTACTATGCTAATGAAAAAAGGAAGTTTTAAATGACTGACCCAGGGTATGGAAATAAAATAGCAATGGGTGAAGAGAAGTGCTAATTCTTTTGCTGATACACTTGCTAAGCAAGGGGTGGGAAGATTTGGAATGTTTTGGGCATTGCTGTAGTCCTGAATAGTTTCTTTGGGGAGGGTTAAGAGAGTTTACCTCTCCCCTTGATTCTTGTATCATCTTGTATCTTTTCAATGTTCATTAATAAAATTGTGTTCTGTTATTGATAAAAAAATACTAAAAGTTCTGCACCTTTTGCTATTATTCATACTGATGTTTGGGGACCCATATCTACTACTCTCTTTGGTTATTGTTACTTTGTAAGCTTTGTTAATGACTATTCTCATTGTACTTGGGTGCACCTAATGAAATCAAAAGATGAGGTTTATACAATCTTTCAAAGTTTTCATACAATGGTTTGCACTCATTTTGAATGACCTCTTAAAGGTTCTTCGCTCAGACAATGAGGGTGGATACCATAGTTGTCAAGGCATTGCCTAGGCAACTAGGAACCCTTGGCTGGGCGCCTCACCCAAACGCATTGACTTTAAGCAACTAGGCGCCCGCATAAGTGACAAAAATGACAAGGTGGGCACCTTTTATAATATCATTTATATTGCTGTATCTTATTAATGTATGTGTTAATATCATTTATAATAAAGTTCTTTTTTTCTATTCTCTCTCTCTAATTAAATAAAACAGAAACTCCATCCTTGTTTTTTTTTCTATTTTACTTTCCATCTTGAATATTTATCATATAAAGTTTGTTAGAGTGAGCCAAAAAGGGGTAGTTTAGTAATCTCATGTCAGTTAAGTACTTTGCTTATGTGGCTGTTTTATTAGAGTACTCTGCCCCACACTTAAGTGACGGCAGTTTAGTCCATGTAAGTGTAATTAGAACCTAATAAACATAAGGGGGTCGACTGAATGGGTGACTAATCAGTTTCGACTAAACCCTCCTATTCTCTCTTTCTCTTGTCTTCTTCCTCATCTTCTTCTTCCTTCTTCACTTGTTCGGATTACTGTAGCTGCTCCAAAACATGGTATCAGAGCGAGGTTTCTGACCTGCTTCCGCTTGCAAAGCATCTCAGCTGTGCTCATGACACCCTCTTCTTCGATTCTGGTTAGTTAATGGAGAGAGCTGGTTCGCCCTAGGTCTGAGACATCACAGCTCGTTGCTCCCTGCTGCGCACAGTTTTCTTCATCAAGGAAGGTGATTTCAGCAGTGAATGGTTGGCTGATACTCTCAAAGGAAGGTTGGTTATTTAGTCTTTTTG